GTCGAAAACACAAAACGAGCGTTGTTTCACGCTATTTTCCGTGGGGCCGTGGTATCACTCCGGTCGAGCCAGTCTTGTCATGTTAAAGCATGGCTTTTCTAAATGGAAAATGTGTCCTATTTTCCAACGAGTCTTAACAGCAGATGTAGGTAAAGACCATTAGATGAAAAGTCAGATTATTATTCATATAGTAACACAAAGGCAGGCATTTTGCGTGTGATATTACTGAAAAATTACTTTTTAAGTCCTCATTTCTATCAGTTTTCTACTCTGACACTTTGCCACAGCATTTGGAAGTTATCCCGAAGATATCCTTTCTTAGCAAATTTATTATCTGGGACACTTTTTGTACAATGAATGATTGTTTGAGTTAGTAAATTACCTCATTGGTTTGATGTGTTATAGTATTGAGGTCATGGACTAATCTCTCGAAGTTTTAAGTGGTATATATGGTAAAGACAGGCAGGCCACGTCGCTCGAACCACTGACGTAGAGACCACGGACCAGAAGACGAAGCGTGGGCAGGCCTCCCGCTAGGTGGAACGATGACATCGCCAGAGTTGCGGGGAGCCAGTGGATGCAGGTGGCGAGTTGTCGTTGGACGTGGAGGGCTAAGGGGGAGGCCTTTGTCCAGGAGTGGACGTCTTCCGGCTATTGATGATGATATAAGTAGTAAAGATGCAGTATGGATATAGATATCGGCCACGCAAATTCTTTTATCTTTTGTACATGAAGTCATTTTTTTTTAAACGTTGCCCCACACTAGGATTATCTCCTGTGTCGTGGGTGCATTTACAAACATACAAGTTCACATACACACGACACCCAGACCCGAAACAATAATTTTCAAGTCATTGGGGTGGTGTTCTTGTTGTAGCCATTGCATTGGCAAGATTTTAATTTATATTTACATTATCAAAGAAGGTGTGAAATATTAAGAATGGATACTATCGTTTTTTCCTTCTCTTCTTATGATATCTTCTGATTTATTTCGTTTCGGGAACCAAGAGAGTTATTCATGTCCCTGGGACGCGCCGGATTTCAGTGTTCCGGTGTTTTCATGGTTATATCTACTGTAGATCATGGCTTACAGGAGTTGCAGCGGTTTTGGGAGGTTGTAGCGGGCTTGGCCCAAAAACACCCAACTGATAGTAGTGTTACTGCACTGATCGTAAGCAAAATTAGTTGATTTTTTACATATAACTCAAACAACAGCTTCTCAAGTTATTCTCGAGTTCATCAAACAAAGATAAAAAGTATAGATAAAACCAAACCATTTCTTACCCCGCACTGTTCCCCCGACTTTAGCCACAAAATCTTTCGTGGAAACCGAATAAATTAATCTATTCCTTCTAATATCGCCATGGATCCTTTAAGCAAAGATTCTTAGGCCTTTCAAAAGGTAAGATGAGGAAGATAAAATACATTTTCAATCATCATCAATTCGCAATAATGTCTAACATTCAATTAAGGCACCCCTCAAAGGCTAAATCGTAATCATGCTTTGAACCGAGGACGTACAGACACTGGATAAGGAGAGGTTACTGTGGAAAGAGACAAACTTGCACGCTCTTGTTAATGTAGTTAGATAATAATATAATATATTTCTAGGATATTTTTCGTATGAAACTAAATTTATTTATTGTAATGTTCATTGACTATAACAATATAATAAAGAGGTTTGTAGGAATGATAGCAATTTGGCGTCTCATAGTGTCTGCCTACCCCTATGGGAACGTGGGCCTGCGGACGGCGAGCATGGGTGGCTCCCCGTCCGACCAGAAACAGACCCGAGCGTACGGCGCGTCGCGTTCCGCGCGCGCCTCAAAGAGCCATCAGACCACCACAGATGGGGCCCAATAGGGCCGATGCCGATTCGGAGTCGCGGAGAACCTAACGGGTAACCGGGGCTCCGGCTCGACGTGCAGGAGAAGGAACGGGGTGGTTTTTAGTCAGTAAGAGTCTGACACTCCCTCCCGCCTCACCCAGGCGGGAGCAGTCATTCGATGATTTTCCCCCCTTAAAAAAAAAAAAAACCCCTATGGGAAACAGGCTTGAAGTTGTGTATTATATATATATGTATGACTACAACCATATAAGTTATAATAATCATATAAATAAACAATTACGTTAATTTTTTTTATTTAATTCGGTTTCGGCAACTGTAACGTAAAAAAGATATTAAAAATTATAATTGGGGAATAATTTCAAGCATCTTGCTTCCTAGAACCACTTGTGGCATGTCAGCTATGTTTTATTTTAAGTACTTTGTATTAGATCAAATAATATTATTTCTATTAATGTCGAATCAACCTTGAGGATCGACACCTGAACATGATTCATGTGAGATAGCAATAGCGTAACTGAATAGAATAAGAACTGTACAGTCTATATCTAGATCTTAATAATCTGTGACCTAAATTCAAGGGCGTTCATGTGTTATTAAGTTTAGTTTATTTCGCTTTGACGTGAAAGTTTGGCTTACGGATCGCACAAAGAATTATTGCGTATATTCAGCTCTGATTTTTGAAAATTATTATTAGTAGAGTATAGAATTGCACCATGCACATTAAATACAAGGCAATTTAAAACAATTCTGCGTCGGAAAACAATGACAATTAAATGATTTTAAGTGCGGGAGAGCCATGCTTCGGCACGAATGAGCCGACTCGACCGGAGTGATACCACGGCCTCACAGGAAACCGACGTGAAACAACGCTTGCGTTGTGTTTCGTCGTGTGAGTGAGGTTACTGGAGGTCCAATTACCCCCCTCCCTAGTCTCCCTAGTCCACAATCCTCAAATTTCCAATTCCCAAAAGGCCGGTAACGCACTTGTAACGCCTTGGTGTTTTGGGTGTCCATGGGCGACGCCGATTGCTTACCATTAGGTGATCCGTCTGCTCGTTTACCGGCTTATGCTATAAAATAAATGAGTTAAATATCCGGAACTCTCACTATATTTAGTAAGCAGCATCCGTCTAGGTTCTTAACCCATTTACAGCAAGCCTAAAGTACTAAATGTACCCTTTAGTACTGTGTTTTAAGTTAAAATTCCTTCCTTTAAAGTTCGAGGTAAAAATCAATAATGTATTTTCTCCCTCCCAGTTTAATTGTTTCAAAGACTGGCTCCTGCTTTCAGTAAAATCATTGTTAACGTCCTTTTTATATTCAGATTTTAATGCTCATAGTAAAATCCAATTTTAGTCGACAGTTATTTTTATAGTTCCATTTGTAATGGGGACGAGTTTATCGTCAAATAACTGGCCATAATTTTGCATTTCGATTTTAAGTATTTTTTCTAAGTAGGTATCCGTTCTTACTAATTCTATTATTAGAATATTTACAGGATGTAATATAATGTATGAATTTCAGTACATAATACAGGTTACATATACCTAATGATTGTTACTCTTCACCTAGCTTCACTGACTGACTGACTGTCAGACTATTATTTATTTTGTATTTGTTTATGTTTCAAAAGTACCAAATTATTATTCTTAATTATTCTTTGGTCCAAAAAATACAGAACGGATTTGAATATCTTATTAACGCGAGCGAAGTCACTGGCATAAGCTAGTCGAAAATAAAAGTTAAGCCAAGGATACATTAGGGGGACAAACGTCCTGCGACACGTGTCGTCAGCGACGTCGGGTGAAGTAGCGCGACATTGCTGGACTTTGGTCGACATGTCTGCCAACATCAACGTCACTGTGGACATAGTTGCGCATTGTCAATGTTTCGCGTTTTTATGTCAGGCGACAGCGGTCGGCTTCGCTCGACCTGTCAACTTTGAGGATCGACACCTGAACATAATTCATGTGTGATAATAATAGCGTAACTGAATAGAATCCAAAGGTTGTATTCCCGCCGCCGATACCTTGAAACCGAGGAATTTTACCTCGGGTTGACCGAAAACACATTTATTTGTATTTATCAAAATGCCATAATCTGCTAACTTTTGAAAGAGTGTTCTCAAGTGTTGTTCGTGAAGGTTGTTGTCGGAACTATAGACCAAGATGTCATCTAAGTACCCGAAAAGTCCAATTCCCGCAGAACTTCGTCCATGAAGCGTTGGAACGTTTGAGCAGCGTTACGAAGTCCGAACGTCATGAACGGAAATTCGTAGAGGCCGAAAGGCGTAGTGATGGCTGTTTTGGCTATATCTGCTTCGAAGACTGGTATTTGGTTGTATGCTTTTATTAAATCGATGGTAGAAAACACAGTGCTGCCTGCCAACTCTTGGGTAAAGTCATGGATGTGTTTGATTGGATATCGGTCGGGGATTGTGCGTGAGTTCAATGCTCTGTAATCTCCACACGGACGCCACCCCTCGTTTTTCTTTCGGGCTAAGTGAAGCGGTGAGGACCACGGGCTGTCTGATCTGCGGGCTGTGCCATTTTGAAGCATCTCCTCGAATTCTCGTTTAGCTATCTTCAGGCGCTCGGGATCGAGGCGGCGTGGGCGACTGGAGATGGGTGGTCCAGGTGTTGTGCGGATATAATGTACCGTGGAATGCTTGATGTTGACGGGTTTAACCATCGGACGCGTCACATCTGGATATTCTCATAAAAGGCGATGGTAAATAGTGTTTTCTGTGGTAGTGCGAACTGACGAGATTGTTTCCGTAGATGTTTGGTTTGGTGTGGCGACTGTTAATGACGTGACGCCATCGATTAGTTGTTGACCGCGGCAGTCGACTAACAAGTTATAGTAGCCAAGAAAATCGACACCTATGATGGGTTTTGACACGTCTGCCACGGTGAAACGCCATGTGAAGGCTCGGCGAAGTTCGAGGTCCAACGTGATAGGTCACCATATGTAGAAATTACTGTTCCGTTTGCTGCGAACAGTTCATATTTCGTTTTAAGTCGTGCCTCTCGAACAGCAGATCGTGGAAAAACGCAAAGATCTGAGCCTGTATCTACTAGGTATTGTATCTTGGTGGTGCGGTCCGTAATGAATAAGCGGCTCGTTGTTGCGGGGCAGTCGTTAGCCGCCACTAATGGCTGCCTTGATAGTTTTCCGACTTCTTGAAGGTACAGGGTTGAGTACATCTACGTGCTCGTTCACCGAAATGGTAGTGATACCAACAGTGTGGGTGGTCAATAGGGCGAGAACGTGAACGGGGGCGATCTCTGGCGTTTCTTGTTATGGAGCGCGAGCGGCTGTTTCTCTCGAAGTTTACGCTCATAGCCTCCACCCTACGACTGAGTTCCGCGACTGTCCGTGTTAGTGCTTCAATCGCGTTATCTTCGATTTGAGTCGTAGGTTCTGACGTGCTAGCCACTTGGTTTGGCCCTGGGATGGTCACTGGAACGACGTCGTGCACCCGATCCGCCAATTCTGCGAGGTCCTCCAACGCCATTTTTTCTTGTTGGGCCGCGATACAAGTCTGCAAGTGAGTGGGTAGGCGACTGGTCCAGATGGTCTTAATGAAATCTGGAGGCACTGTTTGTCCGGCCAGATGTTGGAGGTGTCGCAGAAACTGGGTTGGTTTTCTATCGCCCATTTCTTCGTGCATTAGCAGTTGCTTTATTTTGCGCTCCTTTGATGCTGACAGTCGCCGTATTAATTCAGCTTTTATGGTGTCATACTTGGCAGAAGCTGGTGGAGAGACGACCAGGTCGCGAATCTCAGCTGCATGTTGTGGTTCCAGCTGTGCTAGCACAAAGTAGAATTTTGTGGCATCTGTGCTGATGTTGGACAGTATAAACTGTCCTTCTATCTGCGCGAACCATAGTTCTGGGTCGCTGGGATTGAACGGGGGTGTTCTTACTCCAACGCGGAAGGTTTCGCCAAGTAGGACGTCTGTATTACCCTTGGTTTGCATCTTCGGGTTTTTATTTTGTTTTTCCAACGTCGGGGTCACCAGTTTAGGTATCAACTTGGTAAGGTAATACGAGACTCGGTTTGTGATGGAATAATATTTATTACTATAGACTAGTACAAGCTGGAGTGCGATATGGTAAAACAATTATAATTTCTATTAGTTATATAGGGACAATCCCCGCTTGAAGACGCGTCTAGTAGGAACGCCCACTGCACCGCTGTCATAGGGCAGGACGGAGGATCGGAGGATGCGCGTGCGATGCATGCTGCGCTGTACTGCCTCTGGAGGCGGGGCCTGCTTACACGTGCCGGGGGCGTAACGCACCTAATGAACGGGCCAAGTGCAAACATCATACGATGGCCCGTATTCATAGTCCAGTTGCGTATATCATCACGACCACTTCTCGGATTGGGGTAAACGATGATTTGTTTTTGTGTATGCGATTTGATCGCTACATAAGATCTGTACAGTCTTTATCTAGATCTTAATAATCTGTGACCTAAATTCAAGGGCGTTCATGTGAAACGTAGAATTATTAAGTTTAGTTTATTTCGCTTTGACGCGAAAGTTTGGTTTTCGGATCGCACAAAGAATTATTACGTATTTTCAGTTTTGGTTTTTTTTTCAGCATAATTCTTATTAGTAGAGTATAGAATTGAACCATGCACATTGACAATTAAATGATTTTAAGTGCGGGAGAGCCATGCTTCGGCACGAATGAACCGGCTCGACCGGAGTGATACCACGGCCTCATAGGAAACCGACGTTAAACAACGCTTGCGTTGTGTTTCGTCGTGTGAGTGAGGTTAGCGGAGGTCCAATTACCTAGTCTCCCTAGTCCACAATCCTCAAATTTCCAATTCCCAAAAGGCCGGTAACGCACTTGTAACGCCTTGGTGTTTTGGGTGTCCATGGGCGGCGCCGATTGCTTACCATCAGATGATCCGTCTACTCGTTTACTGGCTATTGCTATAAAAAAAATGAATTAAATATCCGGAACTCTCATTATATTTAGTAGGCAGCATCCTTCTAGGTCGCCGATGCATGTCTATGACTTCTCCCGCCTGGGTGAGGCGGGAGGGAGTGTCAGACACTTACTGACTAAAAACTACCCCGTTCCTACTCCTACAATTCGAGCCGGGAGCGAGGAATCCCGGTCACCCGTTAAGTTCTCCATATCGGCACCAGCCCTATTGGGCCCCATCCGTGGTGGTCTGATGGCTCATTGAGGGCCGCTACATGGCTTGGGATATTTGTCCCCCAGGGTATCTTTAGCTTTAACAATAAAACTGTGTTCTGTCCGAGAAAATAATTTATTAGCTAGCCTAAGTATTGTGCTAGCTATTGAGTCTTGTCAAGCTAAATAATGAATTCGTAAATATAGCTAAAACTGTGACGATTCTTTCTTCTCATAGAAATTGAATCCAGAAAGTATTGAACGAGACATTAACAGTTTAAATAATAAGGATTTGTAAAGAGAAGTTCAGCCAAGTAATTACAGAGTACATTGCTGTATTCAATTTGTTCAAAACGATTCCCTTTCTGAAATACTTGTTAAATTAACATTGGAGTTAAAACTTTGCAGATATTAATTACTTAAATATACAATTCTACTTATTTTTGCCAGCCTTTTTGGATGAAGTTAGACTTTAATACAATAGAATAAAGTTAGGGTTTGATTCGGCCGGGTAAAGTAATATTGAATGAATGTATCGATTTTTAAAAATTTTCAATTGAGTTGTCAAGTGGTTGCAAGTGCAAGTAGTTTCGAAGTCGATTCCTGAACCGGGTATTCCTGCATTTTCCGAGTATTTTCTTATTTTCAGATTTGATAATAAACACAGTCTAGATTATTTTAAATTATGTTCGACTAGCCTTTACCCGCGGCTTCAGTCGCGTCACAAAAGGATAAACAGTAGCCTATGTGACATATACATACAGCGCCATCTATACCAATGATTTCGTTTTTCCTCGAGAATATCAATTTTTCCGGAATAAAAAGTACCCTATTATTTAATCCAGCCTTCTAACTTTACGTCTGAAAAAATTCAAAGCAATCGGTTTAGTAGTTACGGCGTGAAAGCGGAACAAACAAACAAACTCACTTTCCGATTTATAATATTAGTAAGGATAATATGTGAAAAGCCTCTTTTATATGGACCTATAAAGTCACAATGTAACTGCCTACCACTTTAGGAATTAAAAGGTGTGATGTTAGTTAACTTAGTAACTGTACATAATTTTGTATCTTCAAGTCATTTCTTATGGTTACAAAAAGAAACTTTGAAATGAAATTAAAATAGAATTTTTAAAGCCATTAAATAAGTTAACGTGTCCAGGTTCGCTATCAAGAAACTAATTTTAAAATTGTTAACCGTTGACCGGAACGCTGCCATCTTAAGTTTTATACAATTTTGTAATTATAATGTATGAAAGTTTAATACCAAAGTCGTTGACAGACTGCAGTCTCCTTGGAGATTGTAATACAGTTTTTCGGGAAGGAGAGCCAGCCGAGTAATGAGCTGGCTAGACTGGAGTGATACCACGGCGTCACAGAAAACTAGCGTGAAATAAGGCTTGAGTTTTGTTTTATTGTGTAAGTGAGGTACTGGAGGAGTAATACCTACTGCTCTGGTGTTGCAGGTCTCCATGGGCAGGGCGGACAGCTTACCATCAGCTGATCTGTCTAGGTTTTTGCCCACCTATCTATGAAAAATCTGTTATGGTTTTGACTGAAAGTCTGCACGGTAGGTGCAGCCTACCGTCATAAGTATTTCACTTAAAGGTTCAAGTAAAACAATTGAATTTATTACTGCAAATAGGCTACAAGGCAGTTATGTTACACGTCAATTTTATCAAGCGAATGATGAGGCCGACATTTCCTAACTGACTACTCTTAGAAGAAATGCCGAAACAAACTCAGAGGCCCGTCTCTTTTAAAGTCCAGACAATATGTATATAAAAGATTATATGTGAGAACTGAGCAAGTTCATTCTGTAGTGTCCTTTTGAGGTAAGAACCACAACAGTTTGAGCGGACCCGTTCTGACGGCAGTAAGCATTGGTCGGTTTACAATCAGCTCAATTATCTTCCGTTATTCTTCGTCAAATTGTTGTTCCGTTGGGTGCAATGTGCATGTAAAATGAATTATGTGTTTGTAAACACACTATCGACACAAAAACGAACCTAATGTGGGGCCGTGTTTAAATAATAAAAATACTCTACCATATCTATTATTATATTCGTAAAACAATTAAAAATAAAGCGTTAAACCCATTAAAAGCGGAGCAGGGAAATGTTGATGGTAAATAACATTATTTACACAGGGTGTTTGTCCTTGCTCACTCCGGGTAAAGTTATACAGCGGGTTTTAATTCTGAAAGTCAAAGTTATGAAGTATTGTTATTATGTTCACAGTTTTCAGAGGGCACTGTTTTATATCCCATTTTTATCTGGACATTAATAAGTAGCTGCCTGGTCGATCTAGTCGTCGCAAGTCGTGTTTAGGTTCGCTATTGGGTCAAGCAAAGTGTATATTATTGTGGTTTAATAGTAAGTCCTTTGTAATTAGCCGCTGTAGTTATAGGAACAGGTCTATATGTGTGATATAATATACATTTTTTTTTAAGGGGGGAAAATCATCGAATGACTGGTCCCGCCTGGGTGAGGCGGGGGAGTGTCAGACTCTTACTGACTAAAAACCACACCGTTCCTTCTCCTGCACGTCGAGCCGGAGCGCCGGTTACCCGTTAGGTTCTCCGCGACATATACATATATAATATACATAGTTTAGTTAATCCGTGCTCCTCTGCTTATCTCTTTTGGGATCTAAGAACGTGATGTTAAGTTATTATTGAGTATTCAATATCTACTATATAAAAATAAGTCGGGTTTTCCTTCCTGACGCTATAACTCCAGAACACAAGAACTGATTTCCACGGTTTTGCATTCGTTGGAAAGGTCTCGGGCTCCGTGAGGTTTATAGCAAAGAAAATTCAGAAAAATATGTTTCTTCATCTTTTAATCCAAACGAAATGTTACATAAAACGAAGCCATGGTGGCGAAATGGAGTTCGCCGGGTTTGCTAGTTCAGGTATAAAAATTAATCTAATTTACTTGTAGATCTTTCCACGCTCTCCATCCTCGCCTTAAAAAAGCCATCAGACCACCGCAGATGGTGTCCAGTAGGGCTGATACCGATATGGATCCGCGGAGGACTTAATGTATTACCGGGGCTCCGGCTCGAAGTACAGGAGTAGGAACGGGGTTGTTTTGTAGTCAGTAAGAGTCTGACACTCCCGTTCGCCTGACAAAAAGTGGGCGAAGACATTAGATGGTTTTCCCCTCAAAAAATAGACACTTTTTCAAGCCCAATCAGTCAATCAAACTAAGAGTTTTCAGATTATACTATTCAGATCCAGCAAGATTAGATATATCTAGGACCCATTTAAATCTCCTTGTGGAAATACTTGACAAGTCAATGTCACCAGTTGTCCTTCAAACAGGTTGGTTATAAAGTGCAGGACATTGAGTGGTGTAATTTACTGGCCTGAGCAAGGTGAAGGTCGCCTCTGTGATATATGATCTGCGGCCACCAACTTATTGGTTCCTGGTATTTTATTACATACTAACTTTCCATTTTCTAGAAGGTTCCAGTTCCGATCTTGAAGGTTTGGTTACTATGATACTACGATTTAAAGTCAAAGTTTCAAAGTCAAAGTCTACAAGTTTCAAGTCACACCGGGACTCATATCCATGTGCCGTAATTTCGAATTACTCAACTCACTGAATAAGCTTTCAGTTCCACAGTTTCATGTCCTATTCTTTTTGTTCCTTCAAACCTAAATATGTACACAAGTGAGGGTCATTATTTTCAGAAAAATTAACATCACTGTTTAGACATCATTTTATTAGCTTTTGCCAGCGCCACCTGCTTCGCGCCAATAAAAAGTGGCCCATGTATTATTCTAGACCATAATCTACCTCTGTTCCTAATTTCA